AGATGAGGGAAAGAACAGATTAGAAGTGATATATGATTGAGTATTATGGTTAGCACAGGAATCCAGAATTAAGGTTGCATAGAGAAGTGTACTCGGGGTGGGGGGTGGGGGGAAGGGACGTGGGAATTGTATACTAATGAAGGGTTTTTTTTTCTTTTTTTTTTCTCTCTTCATAGGGGGAAGCGAGCTGGTGGGGAAGGGTGGACAGGGAGAAAATTGCAGCAATGAATGAATGGAAATCCAAAACCTCTGTAAAAAAAAAAAATTTAAAATTAAAAAAAAAGCATATATCTCTTACTTACTGAAAGTTAGAGAAAAACAAGGTATTTCATTACCTTTGAGAATTCAATAAAGGTTTATTTGTAATACTAAAAAAAAAAATCACTGCCTTGAACTCAGTTCAGGCTCACAGACCCCTGGTGCGGCATCTGAGGCTTAAATTGCAACTGCAGGAGAGTACCTGTCCTTCTTTCATGGAGCACGTTGAACGGGGCGATCTGAGCTGCCCGAGAAGCCCTGGGGTTAGCTGCACTCAGTACGAAGGAGGCCCATGCTGCCAGCTCTCCTTCAGTGAGGGTGTGGCTTGAGTAGGGACGGCTTGACTGAGGGGGGACTTGAGTCATGTTCTTAAAAAGGCTGTGATTCCAGCTCTTCCAGGCACCGTTACAGCCTCATTAACACACACAGGGCTTCATCAAAAGGACAAAGCCCACACAATACTGGGAGTCCTGGTCTTGCCAATTGGTCACATATTGGAGGAGAGAAGACATGGTGGCATGTGTGACAGGGAGCATATATTCTTGGTCACACATGTCGTGTGTACCTTAGCTGGGTGCACAGGACAATTGGTCCTTCCTCTGGTCACACCAGCCCCCACACTGACACACAAGTGTTCTGGCTCCTCTAGATAGATTGCAGAGGTCACAATCTAATTGAAATGCCCAAGGCCACAAGGACTACTGTCATCCTGTCCCAGAACCATCCTTGCCTCCCAGCCAGTGTGTGGAAGTGATCTAGGGGAGGATGGCAGGAAAGACAGGGCCAGGTGAGGCTAGTTGTCCCCAGAGGCACCAGGAGGTGGTGACCGGGTCAGGATGGCCAGCCCAGAGAGGAGATGGGTGCCGCCCGGCTTCCATGCAGGTCCTCAGAGGACAGCTCTGCTCCCCCTCGTGTTTCCCACAGAAGCTGACCAAAGCCAAGATACTGGTCTGCGGGCACAAGAGCAGAGCAGAAACCCAGCAGAGCTAAACTTCAAACATGTCTTTGAAGCCAGTGTCACAGCTCAGGAGCACTGGGTGAAGGGCAGAGAAAGCCCTCTGTGAGGTGCTGACCTGAGGCACATGGTGGGTTTGTCTGTCCTAGGTAATTGTGCAACCAGGCCGACTGTGCAATGTCCTCCGGACCTGAGTTCCAAGAACAGATCGCTGTCTGCTCACGTACTGTTTTGTTTTTTTTTCTTCCTTATGTACTGTTAACACACTCAGAGATGACGAGGTTGACGGTGTCGGAACCGTGTATGAGAGGGACCCTGTTTCTGTGCAGCTGACTGAGAACCCGAGACAGCTCTAGAAAGCTACTGAAACATCTATGAGAAAGGGAAACCAAGCTCCTTCAAACAGGAGAAAACGCCAATCTTTTCATTAGCTGCTGCCCCCAGCAGGAGGTGGGCCTGTGGAGCACCACAGAGCCAGGCCGGCCCTGGATACAGGAGCAGGACGCTGGCAGGGAATCTGAAGTCCCCAGTGCACCAAGAGGCCTGAGAAAGGACAAACACCCTCTGTGCTTGGTATCCCCATCACAGCAGGAGGCTGACAGCAAGATGACCAGCTGGGATGGCCACAGGGCATCAAGGAGGCCCTGGGGACCCAAATATGGTACCTTCTGCCGGTGTCCAGTCTAGGTTCTACCCTGCAGGTGCCAATCTGGGACCCTCACCACAAAGAGCTCAAGGAGAGTGTGGCTAGCCAGGCACTGTTCCTTCCTGGGCACACAGGACACCAACCTGCCGCTGACCCTCAGTCCTGCCAGGAACAATGACCAGTCCCTGGGGACTTTGCAGCCCCTTCTCCCCAATACTGGAACCGAAGAGCTAGACTCATCGGTGGCCAGACACTCTCAGCTATGGGAGCCCATCACAGGGTGCTGGACACAAAGCACTGGCCCACTCTCCACAGCCTGAAGCCTCCTGGGAGGACATGGGGCTAATCAGGGTAGCACCTCTCAACCTCAGTTAAGGCCTTGAAAGAGGACAAGAGAGAAAAACCAAGGCTGTCACTCTTGCTGATAAGCGATGACAATCTTGCTGGTGGCACAGTCTCTGACTGCCCTGCTCAGCCCGTCGGGGTAAAGCCAAGCCCTCGGCAGCCCCTCCTTCACCTGTCCCTGAGGAAATGAGGGGCCAGGTCCTGCCCACCACCACCCCCTTCCGCTGGGGAAAGAGCTCTGAGCCTGGCCTCGAGTCCTTGGCCTGCTCCAGGGACACTTTTGCCCATGACGTCAGCAAGGACAGCCAGGCTTGGCCTTGGGGGTGTATAAGAGAGTTGGGACTGTGACAGATTGGAGGGAGCATGAGCATGGCCCTCAGGAGGCAGGCAGGTGCACGGGCCACTGGGGTCCTGTGGGGCCTGTCCAGTGTGCGGGCCCTGGGCACCAGGGTCTCTGCAGCCGGCCAGGCAGTGCTGCCCTTTGAAGCCATTCCCCAGTGTCCTGGCAACAAGTGGGTGAGGATGCTGCGTGTCTGGAAGGAGCAGGGCCAGGAGAACCTGCATCTGGAGATGGAGAGGCACTTCCACGAGCTGGGGCCCATCTTCAGGTAGACTGTCCCCAGGAACACGCAGTCCTCTGTCCCCCAGGAGGGGACAGGGGGCTGCTGCTTGGCGTCCCTGACTGTAGAGACAGTGGCTCTGTGTCCAGGGGAGCGAGGACTCGAGTACTGTGGCTGCAGGGATTTTGATTAGACAGTGGAAAGGACTTTTCGGGTGCCAAGTGTCGTATCTGGAAGGAAGAAGAGGTCATCGAGGGGGGAGCCGGGACTGGCATGTTCAGAGTGGTCCATGGAGAACACAGCCAGTGGGCTTTCTGTCCCCCACAGGTACGACGTAGGAGGGGTTCCCATGGTGAATGTGATGCTGCCCAAGGACGTGGAGCGGCTACAGCAGGTGGACAGCCTGTACCCCTACCGGGTGCCCATAATGCCCTGGCTGGCCTACAGACACCATCGTGGACACAAACTTGGCGTGTTCTTGATGTGAGGTGCCATCTGAGGTGGGGAGGGCTGAGTACAGAGGCAGGGGGAGCCCAGCAGGATGCTGGCCGGGTCAGTAGAGAGCCTGGGTCATCATTATCCTGCTGTGAGGACATGCCCTGATGTTGTCTGCCCAGAAACAAGGGAAGACAGTAGTGAGACAAACTCCAGAAAAACCCTGCTTCCAAAGGGGGCACTAAATCTGGGACAGTGTGGTCACAGCCCTTGGTCACTGCGACAGTATTCATTCATTCCTGGGGGACACGTGCAGCCTCCATTCTGAGGCCACTAGTCCTGGAGTGCGGAATGAGCTTGTTACTGACACTCCAGGGACAATGAGAACGGGACCAACTGGCTGGTGGCATCCAGCTGAGGTGGCAGAAGGAGCTGGCCCTGGATTGTATCCTTCCTTTCTTGTTGAAGGGGAAACCTGGTCAAGAGCAAGTGACTGTCCTGCTGGTATCTGTTGTGCTGGGCACAGGCTGCCATGGAGACATGAGATTGTCCAAGACCTTCCCCATCTGTCAGGAAGGGGCTTGCCCTGCATGTGAGGCAGCCCTGGGTGGGGCCTCTGATCTGTGGACACCAGAAGAGGGTCAGGATGTTGGAGGACAGGGCTAGGAGAGGAATGGGTGTGTAAATCTGAGGGAAAAGCAGTGTGACTGTGTGTACGCACGTGTGCATAATTGTGGGTGTGCAACACCTGAAAGTGTGAAAGTATGACTGTACCTGTGTACACATGTATATGTGCGTGCATGCCCATGAAGGACAGGTGCGTACACGCATATGTATATATGTGAAAATTAGAGGATTGTGAGTGCAGGTGTCAGGGTGCTTGTGTGTGCATCTGAGGGCAGCTGTGTGAGCATGCACATGTGTAAGAATGAGAGAACTATGCTTGCAGGTGCACACATGTAGTCCATGTCCCTGCATCTGTGTGTCCACAGGATATGTAAGCGTTAGTGTGTGTAAGTATGTGTGAATGCACGTGCATGTGTTCTGTATGTGCCTTCACGAGTGTTTCTCCCTCCCTGTGTGTGTTTGAGGAGCTGCGTGTGTGCACCAGCATGCAAGGTGTACAAATGTAAACGTATCACGTGCACGTGTGCATGACATGTTGTGCTTGTGTATGCATGTTGGTGTAAATGTCTGTGCAAGCATTCATGCAGAAGTGTGTATCTGTGTTCAGGCGTGTGTGTGTGAGCCTGTGTGTGTGTGTGTGAGTGTGTGTGTGTGTGTGTGAATGCAAGTTTGCTGTGCACTAGGATCTGTGCATTTGAATATGCAGAATCTTCCATGTGTCGCACATACATGTGTCCGTGTGTATAAGAAGTACACTTATGTGTACCTGCTTGCATGTGCATGTGTGATGTGAATTTACACATGCCCACGTGTGTTCCTGTCTATCATGCATGCACACGTGAGCAGGTGTTGGAGTACATGAGTGTATATTTGCATGTGCATGTGGATATACGGCACTTTGGTGTGTGTGTGTGTGTGTGTGTGTGTGTGTACAGCCATGTGTACATGCACCTCAGCGTGTATGTTGTGCTTTGCACGCACATGCATTTCCCTGTGTGCGTGGTGGCCTGGTCGGAGGAAACCTCACTGCAAAAGGCATGTCGTTCATATCCACCAGCTGCTCTATAGGAGAAGCACGAACGGTCTCCTCCCATATTATTTACTGTCTCTGAAAACCCTAGCAGGTCAACTATGTGTCAGTTCCAACTCAATGGTGTACAACAACAACAACAACAACAACAACAACATGTGCTCCTGCATTTTTGTGTGTACAATGAGTGTTGTGTGTGAGGTGTCAGTGTGTGCTGTTGGGGAGTGTCTGCGTGTGAACCCATATGTGTGGGTGTATAAGGGCACTTATGTCTGTATGTGCACTTGATGTCCACCATCTGCTCTCAGGATTCTGAGAAGCCTGGTCAACAGACAGCAGTTTCATGCACAGGACCCGGGCAGAGACCGTACTATGCACATATGCCCTTTTTGAAGGGCACAAGAGTCGGGGCTCTGAGGTCAGGTATCAGGGTAAGAAGACAGGTGCTGCTGGATTTCCAGTCACTTTTCCGGGGCAGAACTGAGGGTCAGGGGAGCTCCTCTGAGTGGGAAAGGCTGGGCCTTGCAGCCAGCTGGACAAGTGCTCACACTGAGGACTTGGCCGGATGAGCACGGCAGGCGCCTTCCTGACCAGCAGCTGAGGTCAGAGCTTCTCTGGGAGGAGTGAGCACGACAGGTGTAAGATGTGTGCTGCGGGGAAGAGGGGTATGTGTGTGTACACACATCTGAGAGGGTGGTCACAGGCGCCTGTGTCAGCCGTCTCTGTGTGCCAGTGTGGGGGTGTGCACACCTGCTCCTTCCTGACCAGCAGCTGAGGTCGGCTCCGGGAGCTTCTCTGGGAAAGGTGAGCAGGACAGATGCGACCCTCAGCCTCCTCCTGCTTGACGCCTGGCCCTGCCCCTGGGCCCCCCCTCTGTTCCACAGGAACGGGCCCGAATGGCGCCACCACAGGCTGCACCTGAACCCTGACCTGCTGGAGCCCAGGAACACACACAAGTTCATGCCCATGGTGAACATGGTGGCCCGGGACTTCTCCCAGACCCTGAGGAACAAGGTGCTCCAGAATGCCCGTGCAAGCCTGACCCTGGACGTGCAGCTCAACATCTTCTTCTATATCATGGAAGGTGGGGCCCATCCCAGGACCCAGACAGGTACAGGAGGGAACGTGGAGCCAGCCTTGTCCTAAGGACGGTCATCGGTGTTCCCACAGCCAGCAACTTCGCCCTGTATGGCGAACGGATGGGCCTCCTGGGTCCCAACCCCAACCACGCCAGCCTGAACTTCCACGAGGCCATGAAGATCATGATGAATTCCACCGCACAGCTCTACATGCTGCCCCAGAGCCTGTCCCGCTGGGCCAGTGCCAGCGTTTGGGCCGAGCACTACCAGGCCTGGGACACCATCTTCCAGTTCGGTGAGGCTTCCCCTCCCATGTGCTCCAGTTCTCCACTGCTGTCCAGCAGGGACACTCAGGCTCACACAGAGGGTGGGGAGCGCAGTGGTCAGGGAAGGAGGAGCAGGGCCCTTCCTGCACCCATGCCTGTCCGTGCACTGTCCCCCACAGCCAACGACGCCATGCATAAAGTCTACCAGGACCTGGCGCTTGGCCGCCCGCAGCACTACAGTGGCATCATGGCAGAGCTGCTCCTGAACTCAGGCCTGTCTCTGGAAACCATCAAGGCCAATGCCGTGGAACTCACTGCAGGAAGTGTAGACACGGTCAGCCAGCACCCAGCTGCTCACTGGGCCACACCTCACTGCACCCCAGACAGTGTCCTCCCACCAGCTGGACACCTGGCCCCATTCATCTCCTCCCTGACATTGATGACACCCCTCACCTTGGTCTCTGCAGTGAAGGGACACTGAGGGCCCCATAGGCAACTGACAGGGGGACTGTGGCTGCAGGTATGACTGGACACGACACTCGGTGCAGAGGGGCCCAGTAAGCAGCACTGAAGCCCCTTCAGAGAAGCTGGCCTGGCTGCACTAGGCTCCTTCTTCAAGCAGCACATGACCTGTGGCTCTGACCACTCAGCAGAAAACTGAAGTGATGGCAGAGAGAGGAGGGATGGACAGGCTAGAGTGGGCGAGCGTGATGGGGACACTGAAGGGTCCAGCCCAGCTGAGCATGCGACACAGTCCTTGCCCCACGCGGATCCCCTTTGCCAGCCCTCACCAGGTCTCTCTTCATGGCATTGCCACTGTCTCACCCTGGAGCAGGGGAGCCCTGGAGCTGCCCATCCTAGACCATGGCGCTCACAGGAGACTTCCTCCAGGCTGCTGGGCTACTGTCCTAAACAAGGGTGACAGAGATTAGCTGGGCCAGTGCCAGGGTGTGGACTACAGGGAGTGAGGCAGCCTGCAGGGAAGGGGGGAAAGGCTGGGTACAGGGGGAGGGGGAGAGGGAGGGTGCAAGGGGAGAGGAAGGGTGCAGGGAGAGAGGGAGGGTGCAGGGAAGGGAAAAGCAAGGCACTGGGGGGTGCAGCAAATGAGGAAGGGTGCAGAGAAGAGGGAAGGGCAGGGCATTGAAGGGGTGCAGGGAGTGAGGGAGGGTGCATCGAAGGGGAGAAAGGCAGGGCATTGGGGCACAAGGTGCAGTCCTGCACTGGGCGCTCCATTCCAAATATCTTAGGCAGGTGGAGGGGCCACATTGTGTTCTGTGTGTGCAGGGAGTTAATGATCTTGGGCAGAGCTGCATGGGGACACAGGGGGCAAAGGGACAATCCCTGGCCCATTCTCCTGTCAGAGGAAAGCAGGCTGTGTGTGGAAATGGGTGAGAGATCCCGGGCTCCAGACCACATCCTGGACAGAACCACACGCCAGCTGCTGGCAGGAATGACCCAGAAGCAGGGACTGACTGAGGTGGGTCAGTGAGTTCACATGAGACAGAGTGCTGAGCTCAGTGCTGGGGATGTGCAGGGAGAGGACTGGTAGAGAGAGAAGCACATGGTGAGTCAACAATACAGGGGGCTCCACCTGTAGGGATTAGGGCTGTGGGAGGCTGCTGTCCCCAGGGGTCCTGGAAACTGAGAACTAGGGGTCTCAGAGTGCCCCTGACCAGTGAGTAAGGGGAAGAAACAGCTTGCTTTCCCAGGGGACAGCTCTGGGAGACCCCCGCCTGATCCAAGGCTTGACCCACTTCTCCCCTCTCCCACAGACATCTTACTCTCTGCTGATGACCCTCTTTGAGCTGGCCCGCAACCCTGATGTCCAGCATGCCCTGCGCCAGGAGAGCCTGGAGGCTAAAGCAACCCTCAGTGACAGTCCCCACAAGGCCCGCTCAAAGCTGCCCCTGCTGCAGGCTGCCCTCAAGGAGACCCTGCGGTAGGTGCCCTGCCCCTGCCCAGCTTTCCTGGGCCCACATAGACAGCAGCATCTGCCACGGGGTAACTCAGAGGACTTGTTGGAGTGCCAGTCCTCCCTTCTACATCAGCGAGCCTTTGTGTCCCTCTCTCATGTCCTGCTGGGGCAGCTGGGTGAGCAGGCTGCTGGCATTATCAGGTGAACCTTTCTGGGGGATCCACCCTTGGAAACCAGGAGAGGCATCGGGCATGGCTGATAGCAGCAGGGGCAGCGGAGGCAGTAGAGGACACTGTGTCGTTCACTGCAGGTTGTACCCCGTGGGTTTAACAGTGCAGAGGAAGGTGGCATCAGACCTGGTGCTGCAGAACTACCACATTCCAGCCGGGGTGAGTGAAGCCCCAGACCCTTCAGAGACCCCCCATGCCATGTGCTCCAGATCACCACGCTGACCTCACCCCTGTCCGCAGACCTTAGTCATGCTGAACCTCTACTCCTTGGGTCGAAACCCCAACGTGTTCCCGAGGCCAGAGCGCTATGACCCCCAGCGCTGGCTGAACAAAGACTCCACATCCAACTTCAATCACGTGGCCTTCGGTTTTGGGGTGCGCCAGTGCGTGGGACGTCGATTGGCGGAGGCAGAGATGCTGTTTTTCCTGCACCATGTGAGCAGCGGCCGTGGCCGCAGGACTAAACTTGGCAGGATGTGTGACTAAATATATACAGGCATTACTTCCTCTACCTCTGAGAAAGTGTGAAAAAAGAGGAGTCTGTGCAAGGGGGGGAGGCATTTGAGAAAGTCCATGGAGGGCAGCACAGGGTGCAGTCCTTGCCTGTGTCCTGAGCTTGGCAGGTGCTGTCCAGGCAGTTCCAACCCCCACACACACACTCCTTGTCCCTTACAGCTGGTCCCCGAGCCAGCCTCACATGTCTGCTGTGCTCTGTCCTAGGTGCTGACGAACTTCCTGGTGAAGACCTTCTCCTCTGACGACTTAAAGATGGTCTACCGCACAGTGCTGATGCCCTCCAACTACCCCCTCCTCACCTTCCAGGCCGTGGACTAGCTGACCGCCAGCAGAGCGCAGGGACCCGGACACCCCTCCCTCTGTGTCACCGCAGACACCTCTCTCAGCCCAGAGCCTGCTGCTCCACAGCCACACCCCAGTTCTCCCAGCCCCTTCACTACTGGAAGCCCGAGGCTCTCAGAGGCACAGAGAGTGCCCCGCTGGACAAGTGCACAATGACCAAGGGGTGACGATGGCCTGGAGGACATGGCTGTGTCCCTAGCCCTACTCCACCATCACCACTCTGTCCACGACCCTCTGTGTGCTGGGACGCCACCCTCAGCCCTAGGTCCAGTCGGCTCAGGGGGTCTAACCCCTTGTCTATCTGTCTGGTACCGCTCCTCCATCTACCCTCTCCCTCCTCCATGTCACAGCTGACCTCACAGGGTCACGGGTCACTGTACTTCTGTTACTGTACTTCTGAGTGACCATGTGAAGCTTATCTTTGGCCAAGGAAGTAGTTATCAAACAGAGCAGGAAGACACTGCATGGTTCAAAATCAGGAAAAGAGTGTATCAGGGATGTGTCCTATCTCCATACCTTTTCAACCTGTATGTGGAACAGATCACTGGGGAGGCTGGACTTTAGGAAGATAAGTGTGAATTCAGGATTCAAGGAAGACTCCTCAACCACCGGCATTATGCAGATGATATGGCTTTGTTGAAACTGAGGAGAACCTGACAAGTTTGTTCTTACCGCCGGGCCAACTGGAAGCATCATGATTGGTGGAGAATAGATCGAGGTTGTTAACAATTTCAGCTTGCTTGGCTCCACAATCGACACTTGGCACTAGCAGTCAGGAAATCAAAAGATGAATTGTATTGGGTAAGTCTGCTATCAGGGACCTTTCCAAAGTGCAAAAAGCAATGATGTCAGCCTAGAGACTAAGGTGTACCTGATTTAATCCATGCATCAGAGAGCTGGGCAATGACTAAGGATTACAGGACTGATGATGCCTCTGTGTTGTGGTACTGGAGGAGACTTGAACATATCATGGGCCACTGGAATAACAATTAGGTCTGTCTTGAATATGGTGAAACCAAATTTCTCCTTAGAGGCTAGAAAGAAAAGAGCATTATGCTTGGAGGTTGGAGGGACAGTGCAGGAGGGAAAGACCAAGGATGAGATGGATTGATACTGTAACTGGGCCAACGAGGGGTAGGTGTGTCAGAGTCAGTGAGACTGGCTCAGGACAGGGTAGGCTTCAGGGCTGTTGTATGTAGGGTGGCTATGTGCGTAACAACAACATGTACAATGTTTTCAAATGGTATTTTCAATTTCCTCATATGCGTGTGAAATTTGAGCAGTGAATAAAGAAACCTGCAGAAAAGAAACACATTTGAATCAAGTCGTGTTGACAAGAATGGGAAAACACTATGCACTGTCAGAAAGCCAAATCCTCCGTGAACAGAACGTAGCCAGAGTGCGTCATAGAAGTTTGCACAGAAAGCCTTTATTTCTCCTAACTTAGGAAAGCTGTCTAAAGAGGCCAGTCTACAGAGACGTTTTCATGCTTAGGGAAGTGAAGGGTCAGCCAGAAAGGGAAGCTAGTGATAGAGGTGGAGAGTCACAGTGGCCACAACGGGCTTACACACAGTGGAGGTTGTGAGGATGGCATCCGGTCAGTCAGTGGACTGGAAAACATCATGGAGAAGAGCATGGAATAGGAGAGAGCAGCTGCTTCTCCACAGTAAAGCTGATTCCTCTCCGGATGAGGAGATGCCTCAATGCAGAAAGCAGGGGAAGGGGGCACTTTATGTCTGCAGAACTTAACAAGCACTCAAATCCCAGAACCTCATCTTCACATGGCTTTAATGTAGGGTCTGACCACGTTGCCCAGAGGCCAGCGTGCAGGAGGATGGTGACCCCTCAGGCTGTGCATGGCAGTGTGACCCTGAGCAGCCCTGACCACCTGCGCTCACTTCCTGCGGGGACAGTAGTCCAGGGTCTTCCCTGTGGGGTGGGAGTTCCACCAATGACTTCCACGATCACAACACATACTATCACCAGGAAAGGACTAAACTGAAAGAGCAGTGGAAACGTGTGAATGACAGTCGTCTAGGAGGAGAGAGCTCACCAGATGTCTGCTAGAGCAGGGAGCTTCAAGAGGCTGACAAACATCCAGAAAGATCCAAACACCAGGACGAGGCTGAGCTCTGCGGGTGGGATCAGGTGGTGCTGTCTTATCTGTAGCCATGGCGTCAATGACCCTCATTTCTATACTTCCCAAATCCCCAAGAGGGACCTGTATGGGCACTAAAATCAAGGTGCCTAGTGTAGGGGTGCTGAGTCGTGCTCCGCTTGAAGGCAATCAACAACAACAAGTCTAGCAATAAGAGCTTGGAGCTGCTCCAGGGTCAGGAGAGGGAATGGCTGTGGAGCAGCGCCCTCCGGCCTGAGAGGGGCACCTGTGGTGACACACATGGAGCTGGGCTCCAGGCTCTGGGCTTTGCTGGTGACCCGCTACAAGGGATAAAGCAGTCATGGCTTGGGAGGGACCTGGTCCAGCGGCTCTTGGGAGTTGGTATGCCTGGCCCCTGTGTGGTGGGGTCACCCTCAGCTCCTGCCTGGACAAGCTAGGTGCTGGGATTGTGGAAGCGCTGGGAAGTGCTGAGGGGGCTGTGGAGGCTGTGGCCAGCTTCCCCTAGTGGACACATTCCTACTTGGGGAATTGATATTGCCCTGTGTGCATGACAACAAGCGGCAGCCAGCTGTGTGACCTTGGCCAAGAAGACGGGGGACCAAGCCTGGGACGCCTCGCCGAGGGCTCTTTGAAGAGGGGCCACCAGGACTTTAGACAAAGGCCTTTACTTAAAGTGCAGGGAGCTACAAGCTGGTCAAGGGAGTCCCTTTTGAACCTCCTTCTGGACAACTGTGTCCTCTTGGGAAACTCACCTCTGACCTGCTTCCTCGTGACTCCAGGGTGGCTCCACAGCATCTTTGAGCCCCGCCACCCCCCGTGTCCAGTCTGCTGCTCTTTTCCTAGCAATTGTGCACTGATGACTACCTTACACACGCCTGAATCTGGAGACAAATATCTTAAGGGCCAGGTTGCCCCAAAAAACCCAACAGCAGCCAAGAAGGACAGACAGTCGGATGGACAGTGTAAACCCCACACTAGAGTCTGAGGTTCCCGTGGACAGGTCGGGTCGTGTGTCACAAATACAGTGACAGAGGGACAGCACAGAGGACCCTGTGAGGTCAGCTGTGACATGGAGGAGGGAGAGGGTAGATGGAGGAGCGGTACCAGACAGATAGACAAGGGGTTAGACCCCCTGAGCCGACTGGACCTAGGGCTGAGGGTGGCGTCCCAGCACACAGAGGGTCGTGGACAGAGTGGTGATGGTGGAGTAGGGCTAGGGACACAGCCATGTCCTCCAGGCCATCGTCACCCCTTGGTCATTGTGCACTTGTCCAGCGGGGCACTCTCTGTGCCTCTGAGAGCCTCGGGCTTCCAGTAGTGAAGGGGCTGGGAGAACTGGGGTGTGGCTGTGGAGCAGCAGGCTCTGGGCTGAGAGAGGTGTCTGCGGTGACACAGAGGGAGGGGTGTCCGGGTCCCTGCGCTCTGCTGGCGGTCAGCTAGTCCACGGCCTGGAAGGTGAGGAGGGGGTAGTTGGAGGGCATCAGCACTGTGCGGTAGACCATCTTTAAGTCGTCAGAGGAGAAGGTCTTCACCAGGAAGTTCGTCAGCACCTAGGACAGAGCACAGCGGACATGTGAGGCTGGCTCGGGGACCAGCTGTAAGGGACAAGGAGTGTGTGTGTGGGGGTTGGAACTGCCTGGACAGCACCTGCCAAGCTCAGGACACAGGCAAGGACTGCACCCTGTGCTGCCCTCCATGGACCTTCTCAAATGCCTCCCCCCCTTGCACAGACTCCTCTTTTTTCACACTTTCTCAGAGGTAGAGGAAGTAATGCCTGTATATATTTAGTCACACATCCTGCCAAGTTTAGTCCTGCAGCCACGGCCGCTGCTCACATGGTGCAGGAAAAACAGCATCTCTGCCTCCGCCAATCGACGTCCCACGCACTGGCGCACCCCAAAACCGAAGGCCACGTGATTGAAGTTGGATGTGGAGTCTTTGTTCAGCCAGCGCTGGGGGTCATAGCGCTCTGGCCTCGGGAACACGTTGGGGTTTCGACCCAAGGAGTAGAGGTTCAACATGACTAAGGTCTGCGGACAGGGGTGAGGTCAGCGTGGTGATCTGGAGCACATGGCATGGGGGTCTCTGAAGGGTCTGGGGCTTCACTCACCCCGGCTGGAATGTGGTAGTTCTGCAGCACCAGGTCTGATGCCACCTTCCTCTGCACTGTTAAACCCACGGGGTACAACCTGCAGTGAACGACACAGTGTCCTCTACTGCCTCCGCTGCCCCTGCTGCTATCAGCCATGCCCGATGCCTCTCCTGGTTTCCAAGGGTGGATCCCCCAGAAAGGTTCACCTGATAATGCCAGCAGCCTACTCACCCAGCTGCCCCAGCAGGACATGAGAGAGGGACACAAAGGCTCGCTGATGTAGAAGGGAGGACTGGCACTCCAACAAGTCCTCTGAGTTACCCCGTGGCAGATGCTGCTGTCTATGTGGGCCCAGGAAAGCTGGGCAGGGGCAGGACACCTACCGCAGGGTCTCCTTGAGGGCAGCCTGCAGCAGGGGCAGCTTTGAGCGGGCCTTGTGGGGACTGTCACTGAGGGTTGCTTTAGCCTCCAGGCTCTCCTGGCGCAGGGCATGCTGGACATCAGGGTTGCGGGCCAGCTCAAAGAGGGTCATCAGCAGAGAGTAAGATGTCTGTGGGAGAGGGGAGAAGTGGGTCAAGCCTTGGATCAGGCGGGGGTCTCCCAGAGCTGTCCCCTGGGAAAGCAAGCTGTTTCTTCCCCTTACTCACTGGTCAGGGGCACTCTGAGACCCCTAGTTCTCAGTTTCCAGGACCCCTGGGGACAGCAGCCTCCCACAGCCCTAATCCCTACAGATGGAGCCCCCTGTATTGTTGACTCACCATGTGC